CAATCGGTCGCCTGGTACTCACGTTTTCACCGCCTGCACGTACTCCGAGTTGGAGTCCTCCTGCGCGTTGACGGTCGTGCCCATTGCAGACTCTGAGGGACGAGATGACAATAGATTAGCGACAATATTCTGAAGCAATACTCGCCAGAGGTGCTGGAGCTGTTGCACACTGTAAGGTGTGTGAATTGCTATTTCGCACCCAAGCACAGGAAAGTTTAGTAAGTTTTGTACTTTCTCGGTTTATAAGTGTACCATTAAAAATTCACACGCATACGAAGGTGTAAGATTCTCACACGTATGCGACGGGGGGTTTCTGAACGGGGGGTATCTGAACACTCACCACAGATGGTGTCCAGTGTGCACAGGTGAACGTAGTGGCCAAGATTGAAGGCCTCGCGGCCGCTCAATGCTGCCAGCTTCTTCACCAGCACGGTCGTGTTCCGGTTGAACACCGGAAGGAACTGGTCCAGGATCCGGAAGTGGAAGGTGGGCGTCAGCAGGCGCCGGCGGGCGTGCCACTTCGCGCCCTTGCTCGTTAGCAGTCCGGACCGTAGCCACGGGTGCAGCGTGGAGTAGTCGTTGCTTTTGTCGATGTGCTGCACGCTTGACAGCACGGCCTGTAGAACGTCGTGACAAAGACATTAGAAAGAATCCTTGACAGGTTTTAGGGGCTTGTTACGCACCCTTCGGGACACAGTAACCGCGACTACACTACTCGTAGTATCGGGATTTTTGAATTGCTCGTGTATATCCGTTCCTCCTCTTTGACCATCTTATTTCTTCTCGTGCAACTAATTTTTATGATACAACTTTCCGTTTCCGCGCACACCATATCACACTCGTGCATGCGTTTTTGTTGCGTATAATATTCCATTGTTTTTTTTTTATCGTCGTTGCAAGAGTTATTTGAGTCTACACTGTGTGATGTGTGTTACTATGGGCTCCATACAACGCAATCACTCGGAAGTCCAGAAGGGGCGGAAGCAGGTGTCCAGCAGGTAGTCGACCCAAGTCACCTAGTTTTGGGGGCTAGGCGACTCTGTCGACTACCGGCTGGACACACTGGACTCTTTTGCCCTCCGGGCCAAATAAATAAATAAATGATCTAAAAAGGACCACATACCTCGACGCTTTCCGCGGTGTTGAGGACCACGTACGGAAACGAGGCGATCCAAAACCGGAAACCGTTCGGAAATTCCTTCTGTTGCTCTACTGCGGCGGCCAACGTTTCTGCAATTGCGCAAAATGTACCGGAATAATCACTGGCTTTATTGAATCGATTATGGGAATGGGATGTTTTTCAAAACAACTCACTGCCGTGTTTGTTTCATTCAAATTACCGAAGTTGTGCTTGGCGATGTCCAGGAGGTTCCCGATGATCGGTGCGCTCGGCGGCCCCGGCAAGGCGTTGATCTTGTCGACGAAGGCCTTCCTCTTGAGGGCCAGCATGGTCAGGATCAGGAGGAGGAGCCCCCCGAGCAGGACGATGAGGACGTCCATGGTGAAGTGAGCCAACGGTCCGTGGGCTGACGGCCGGGGAAGACTAGTTTACTGACTGGCTGAAATACTGACCCTGTCAGTTCAGGGTCCACAATTTGGCGTTTTTGGCGCTTTAGAGGTAGGAACTGCATGAGTTTTGGGTTGAGGGGCTTAACGTCGGGGCGCGCGGCTGAACTGTTTGCCTATACAGGGTGGTCCACAGACCCCTTCCTTTATTTTGCTTATACTGTACCGCATGCATGCGTGCGGGCGGGCTTGCCTACTGTCGCTCACCATGGGCGCCTTATGGCCCCGTGAGAGTATGCAACCCGTCCGCACGCCTGTATCCGGTACAGTATAAGCAAAATAAAGGAAGGGGTCTGTGGACCACCCTGTATGTCTGTAATGGTGTCGAATTGTGCAGAGCTTTGGCTGCAATTATTTTTGTACAACAGTACGACTGAGGCGTAGTTCTGTGTGTGTGTGTGTGTGTGTGTGTGTGTGTGTGTGTGTGTGTGTGTGTACCGGGTGATTCAGAGCACGCGCCGCCGCGTTGCGGGTTTGCCTATCCTCGACTCGGCGGGCGCACGGGTGAGAGGTGAGGAGGAGAGGAGTCACCTCCTCACCTCTCACCCGTGCGCCCGCCGAGTCGAGGATAGGCAAACCCGCAACACGGCGGCGCGTGCTCTGAATCACCCGGTATGTGTGCGTGAGAGAGAGAGAGGGAGGGAGTGAGAGACCAGGGAAAAGTCTTCTCTTCCTGGTGTGTGTACTATGGCAAGTACACACTGTTAAAAATAACTTACCTGACGACATACTGCGGGATTGACCACAAAATTAATCACATTTTCGTTGTAAGTTTACAGCAATTTTTTTAACAGTGCACTCTTCCTTGCGTGTACTTTAGCGACTACACTCTTTTATGTGTACTAAGTTCACTGTTGGTTTTGCAGTGTGTTGTCAAAAAAGCAAACATTGATAAAGATCTCGGAAACAAGTTTTCTGGCCGAAAAGACAGTGTCTTTGTTTTGCTCCTTTGAAAAAAAAGTTGTAATATTACAATTGTGTTGTTTTGGGGGTAAATGTGTTGCTAACAAAATTAACAACACGTTTCTTGTACATTTACAGCAAAGTGATTCCAAGTTGTCTCTCTTGTGGGCAAATGTGGGACAGAAATCACTAGAAAGAGTTGAAATGAAGCCAACATTGTTGTGATAAGACAGTAGGGTAATCACGCAGTGTCGTCCGGTAACAATTATTTGTAACAGTGTGCACTTGCACTCAGAAACTGAGTCCGCACGGGGATAGGGCTTGGGTGCAGTTGGATGGGCATCGCCTCATGGGTGGGTGCTCTGGCGCTCTTCGACGACCTGATGCCGTATCGGACGCGACCCTCCGCGTACCGATAGCCAACCGAAAGCATACCAAAAGCAAACAAATCTTTTTGCGTCGGGTCGCGCAAACTTAAACCTACGTTTTGATTTGTACGACTTTTTGCGTTAAAGTGCGTGATTTCGTACGAAGAAATGTATAAAAAGTTTAAATTAACCAATAAATGCATGCACACATGTGTGCAAACAATTTGATCTGTTAAATCCGCACGAATAAAAGACACAAATCCAGTTATTGTGTAGCACTACATATTATTTCTTACCAAGACGGAAGGGCTTTCGTCAACTAAAAAAAAATTTACGCCCTTATTTGCGGTGGCAGTCTAGGGCGTACTTCGGCGACATAGGTGTTCCTGTTCGTCTTCTTGGCTGCCTTACCTTTAAGAAGGCGCACGGCTTCTCCGCAGCCCGCGGCGCGTTTCGGCTGGGCTCTCGCTGGGAACTGAATAAAGAGCTTTTTGGACAGGAGCCGGAATACCGCCCGCTCTCAGTGAGCGAGTGAGAGAGACAACATCACACGGGCCAGCCGCTGTTTAATGCTGATAGCTACCCGAAAACTGCTCGTGGCCGGTCGCGCCAGACCGGAGCGGCCGGGCATTCACCCATTGACCGCAGCTTCTGTTGCGGACGGGCAAGAACAGACTGTTTTTTGGCTTTTTGAAACTTTTGAAGTACGATCGAGAACGATCCAGTAAGGTCCAGCGGCTTATATTTCCGTATTCTCCCCCCATTCTTCCGTCATTTAGTGTCTCCACTGTGAGAAATAGTTGTAAGTTTTACTGGAAAGTTGTCCATGATGCGTGTCCTAAAATTATAATCATAATTGTGAAGTTACAAGCACTTGGTATTTACTTAGAATTCATCAACAAGCAATAATTTACAACAAGGTATTTTCCGAGGGGGCAATAACTCCCTTTTGAAGTGTACACATAATTCCCGAAATTCTTGATTCCCAGTGATTCCCGTCCGCTTACATTCATTCCTTAGGTTTGCTCAAGGTTGTTTAGTGGTAGAAAACGCTCATCTCGACTGATTTGTACGATTTATACTAGTTGCTCGAGTTTCCCGCTTAGTTTAGGCGATTTTTATTGATTTTGATCAAATTTTATCCTGATGATTCCCAAGCAGGTGTACACATGATTCCTGGAGTTCTTGCCCCCTCGGTATTTTGCAAATTATTGCAAAATATATTCTCTATATTTACGAGGATATTTTTTACAGTGTTCGCCTGGGCGAGTGCTGTCCACCAGCCATTTGCAAATCAAACTTATAACGATATGTCATTAAGTATGAACGGTATGATCTGTAAAGTTGTGCATTTCAAACTGTGTACGTTTTCAGTTTTCCAGTCTTAACTTCAAAATTATACTTGTGTTATCTTGCTACACACGCATGTTTGAGAGAGCTGCTGTGATTAACATTGGGGTGTTTTGGTTATAGGCTCTAGCAAGTATGACTCAAACGGTCACAGTGCTACAGTGGTTTTGAAAACAACACACGCGCACTGCTTACCAATGTCAAGAACTCTTTTTGAAAATACCAAAAATGCCATTTGCCAATAATAATCGAGGCGTACTTTCCATTAAAATTCCATTAAATGCCATTAAGGTTCCGTTCGAATTCAATCGGATCGGTCTGCGAGAGAAACAGCATCCATTTGATCAGATTCTGTCTCTCTCGCACAGACCGACCAACCGCAGACCGATGGCAGAACGCCAGAGCCTAGTTGGTTTTAGGTACTGGAAACGATGAATGTGTGAATATCGCACACTTATAGAACCTTTGGATTTCACACTTTCGTGCCTCTGTGTGCACGAAAGTCGTTCACACAAGGTACAAGGTTTGCGCGACAAGAAGTCGCAGCAATGCCTGTTGTGGTGCCAATATTATAGAGATGAGATGGTTTTGTAAACGCACCTTCTTTAAAAAATTATTCTGTAAAAGGCTCTGTATAAATCTAATCCATTTCTCTTTTTTTTGTCTACATACAATACTTACATTAAATGTATAGATAAAACAGATAAAATATCACAGTAACAATCGAGCGGTTGTCAACTCCGATAATCCTCTGAATACGGACTGGTGTTACCAGACATATGTTACTTACATTAAATGTACTGATAAAACAGAAAACATCACAGTAACAATCGAGCGGTTGTCAACTCCGATAATCCTTTGAATACGGACTGGTGTTACCAGATATATGTTTCGGCAATATTACTGATTTTACTTTAACAATACATCAATGAGATCTCAAAGCGAAAACAAGACGTTTATTAATTTTGAGAGATGGTGTTAGGTCTGTCTATATTACCATATCCCTTCGTCTTTGAAGTTGATTACCTCTCCGCAACAATAAAAATTACAATTTCAAAATGATTGCCTTTCAATTTCTCCACTTTTGTACCAATCCCATATTTTATGCGTATCTTCCGGAACTTATTTTCCTGACTCACATTCGTCTTCTTCTCACACATCATATAAATATCAGTCTCGCTTCTGAACTCGCACAAGAAGTTTGTCGTCTCTGGATTTGAGGATGAGCTCCCCGGCTATCTTTGGTTTGTAGCCTGGATAAGCCTCGAGGAATCGGAACTCCATGAGCAGGCGCGCGATCATGCACTTCATCTCCATCATGGCGTACTTCTGGCCTGAGTGGTGAGAGAATCGTTTGAAATGAGATCCTATCTCAATTCACCAAGTGTGTTCCACGCACTCTGAGGGTGTCGTGCACCACACCGATAGAATAAATGCACAACTACTTAACACTTGAAAGTGTGCAACTGCTTGCGGAATACTTGAACGTGTGCAACTGCTGGCTGGATACTTGCAAGTGAGCAACTGTCGAGTCGAACTCACTCAAGTATGTACACTGCTGCGGAGTTGCACACTTACAAACGCTAAGCAGTTGCACACCAAGTTTATCAGTGTACGAACCGATGCAGTTCCTGGGCCCGGCCGAGAAAGGCACGTACGCGAAGGCGTGCCTGTCGACGGAGTTCTCGGGGAGGAACCTGTCGGGGTCAAAACGCTCCGGGTCGGGCCACAGGGACTCGGTGCGGTGGAGGACGTAGGGGCAGACGACCACCGTGGTGCCGGCCGGGACGACATCTGTGTGCACACGCGTCAAAAGAAGACTTGCTATAGTGTATTGGCTAAAGTCAGTTATGCCTCATTATTTGGCTGAAATTATCTGTATACAATGTATATTTTTCTATTCTTTTACACTATATTTCGTGACAAATTTATACTCGGTCACAAAATAACTGTCAAAGTCGTAATATTGAATGCCAAAGATATTGTCTACAGTGATGAAGCCAAGTTGGCGTTTGCTTACGTTTCCCATCCATTTCCAGGGGTAGGTCTCTCTTGAGCGAACGGAGGAACACGGGCACACTAGGGTACAGACGCAGTCCCTCCTTGATGACCCTCTCTAGGTACTTCATCTGTGCCAGGTCCTGGTTGGTGATGTCACGTGTCTTGTCGCCCATGACGGAGGTTATCTCTTGGTATGCCATTTCCTGGCGAAGCGCAAAATTGTAAGCGTTGTCAAGTTTACAAGAAAGGCATAGCACCTTCATACATATAGGAGATGCCGACCCTTACCTGGACCTTAGGGTTTACGGACAGCGCGTACAGAGTGAAGGTTATGGCAGTGCCAGTCGTGTCGTGGCCCTGGAAAAACAGTATCGATTATTTGATATCCTCTTTTTTTCTGCTCTTCCCCGCCGTTTCCTGAATAGCTTTCCGTGTGATTCGCCAGTGAAAGCTCCTAGCATACGGCACTGTACTTCTCACCTCGAACATGAACGTGTCCACTTCCTCCTGGATGTCCATATCAGACAGGCCAGCTCCGTTCTGGTTTGCGAGGAGTAGCTGGTCGAGGAAAGCCACTCGCAGTTTTGTTCCGTCTTCAGCTGAGAATTGTTTTCAAAGACAAATTAAAACACGCGGAGTCGGTAAACAATACAAAGTTGAGAAGTATGTATTCCCCTACATCCAGAACGACGGGAAGCTGGAGCAACCAGCAGACTTTTAATGAAAAGAACTACACAGAATCTTCAATTTGGTTCTCAAAACTATTATAACGGTTCAATTTAGCGTTCTCCCCAGGTGGCTTCACGATAGTTTGCTACAATTTTTCATATTCCCGGATGCCATATTCTTTCCTTACCAGGCTGTTGAATCTTTAACAACTCTTCCGTGTGGATTCCCTTGCGCTTTTGGATCACCTGAATATAACGAATAAGTTGTCATTAGAATAACGACTTGCGTTGCCCACGGTGCTGCGCGTGATCGACACTCACGGATGTCGTGAGCCCGTGCAGGACTTTGAGCGCCCGTGAGAAGGACCAGCCATACGGCGTCGCATAGAACGTGGCGTCTGGGTACAGCCACGGCTTCACCAGACGCATGTACGCTTTGCAGCAGGCGCTGTGGACGGAGAAAGACTGTCTCAAGAAGAGCTGCAAGTTTAGTTTGCATACGGGGTGTCTTGTACTCACGTTTTTACCGCCTGCACATACTCCGAGTTGGAGTCCTCCTGCGCGTGAACGGTCGTCCCCATGGCGGACTCTGCGGAACGAGACGACGACGTTTGATGAGCAACAATGATCCCACGCGATACTCGCGAATTTCTAATCGCACACTCGACCAAGTAAAGGTTTGACTAATACCCTTCGAATTGGCCACAACTGGAATTTCGAGTGCACGAATAAAAATTCACACACCTGGGTTAGAACCGTTTAGAATCAGGTTTGCAAAAGAGAGTTCGGTTTCTGTGAGTATACTAACCGCAGATGGTGTCCAGCGCACACAGGTGCACGTAGTGGCCAAGATTGAAGGCCTCGCGGCCCGCCTCTTTCTCCAGCTTCTTCACCAGCACGGCCGTGTTCCGGTTGAACACCGGAAGGAACTGGTCGAGGATCCGGAAGTGGAAGGTGGGCGTCAGCAGGCGCCGGCGCGCGTGCCACTTCGCGCCCGTGCTGGTCAGCAGCCCGAACCTAAGCCACGGGTGCAGCGTGGAGTAGTCGGGGCTCTTGTCGATGTGGTGCACGCTCGACAGCACGGCCTGCGGAAAGTTCGCGCCACCCGTGAAACAAAATTAAACAGCACGCAAGTCTCGGGTCTCACGGTGTTTCCGACTTTTAAACAAATTGGTCTGTGATTATCCACCCGTTTAGAGTGACGTTCGGTTTCCTGGTTCTGACTGCGACACATAAAAAAGAAATGTTTTGTGTCGCATCGGTATTTTAACTGCTGCCCAATTAGCTTATCACATCCACTGAGATTCAGCTTGTCGCGGAAGCCCGCCCGTTTTCCTGCCGCTCATACACTGTAAAAGTTTTATTTTGTTCCTAAACAAAGCTTAATTGATTAAGTTTTCAAACAAAAAGCGCCTTGCTCGAATTGAAGGACGACTGTTCCAGCAACAAAAAGTGGCAAAAAACATACGCAAATTACGAGAGCCCCATTGAGTGAAGCGTCATTTCTTGTGCTTCTACTGTATGCTGCTCCATTTTTCATTTAAATTTGCTGCTAACTTTTAAACTTATATATTAGACTATAGCGTCATCAGGCCAACATCTTAAGCCTAACACAAAAATCCGAAGTTTCGGTTGCAGAACGAAAGTCGAAATATGTCGTGTTTTTTTTTTGTTTTTTTTATTGTTTTGAAGCTGGTTATACCGCCCGAGACGCATTTCCAGCCCTAATTGACGGGACTCGACAACACGCTTCTTGCGGAGGTGCCAAATGTAGTCGGGTGGTGCGTGTTAGCTACTAGTGCGCCTTTTCTTTATTTTTGTGAGGTCTACTTCGGTGCTCCTGCCGGATATTATGTGCGTGGCATTGAACTTCGGCTATATCAGGCGTAAACAAACAAACAACATATATGCCCGCCCAAAAATATAAATCAGAATGACTAAAAACGAAGACGATGACGGGTATTCCGACCACCGCCCTAATCCACGACAAATTGTAGGTTTCGAGCAATTACTGTTTGTTGCATTGTTTGGTTCAGCATGATTTAATTTATTTGGCGTACAGTACGAAACTGAGAAAATATTTCAGAACTCGGGTGTTTTTCTGCCTCTCACATTCGCGTACAGTAAGAGTTTGAAACCTGACCTCGCCAAATGCGGTCGTTCGCTTTGCGGTTTGATGACCCAACGCCCTACTCTGGTCACGGTGATATTCTTTCTTGGTTCAGATATCGAGTCGTGGACCGACCGATGCTCGGCTAGGTAAACATGCAGTGCGGTAAATGTCCTTCTAAGATTCAGCCCCACTGAATCCGGATTTGTGACAAAATTAAGTATTTCTGACAGAAGTCGTTTTCTATGACACCTTCGATTAATTGCTTTTATGAGATGATAATTTTTTACCCCAAAAGAAGAGGCTCTGAAAAATTATGAGGGAAGATGACCGTGAGGACTGAAACATGATTTCGATAACTGTAAGATAAGTCAAAACCATGTTATAGTTTGCCCCCCCCCCCAAAAAAAAA